TTGATAAAATGTTCTACCAGCGCTCTCCTTCAAAACTAACAGTCCTGTTTTTCAAACACAATTTTCGTTACAAATGCAATGCACCCAGATATTTTTGACGTATCCAGCTTCCATGTTATACTCATGACTTATCAGTGACAACGAGAGAGAGCTCCGGGAATCAGAAGTCTATAGTCTATGTACAGAATATCTATTTTAAAAGAAGTGATATGAAACCAGCTCATGAAAGAAAGTCAAAAAATTCCTCATGCAGGGATTTTACGGTAAATTGCATAATATTATTAAACAATAAATTTTTATAAGTTTCTGTGTCATCAGATTGTGATCCAATCCTGACGTAAATCAGTGTGTCAGATTATCTAAGGTTGCAGACTATCGGTACATTTGTTTTACAGAAATAAACAGGATGTTATATTGTATCATCATGTACCCACTAAGCATACCAGTTTATTTTTGATGAGTCTGGCCTCAACCCTGCCCTGCTTGTTGTTAAACTTCGGTAAGCAGTTCAATTCTGCTCCCATGCGTCTTAATTTTCACACACGAAAAATTACTGGTTCACACTGTGATCTTTGCTTGTTTATCTTCATTGACAGTTGCAAGAACGAATGCGAACAGTTGGTGAAGCTGCCGTAGTTGCTAGACGAGAGAAGTTGACCACAGAACTGAACCGGTTACGCAATCGTGTAGATGAGTTCAACGACTATGGTGAAATGGACAGCGAAATGCAGGCACAATACGTGCAAGATGTCCGCGCGGTGCTCAAACGTCTGATGGATGCGGAGAATGAGCGAGCTTGGATTAATAAAGAAGAAGAGTTGTATAAATTACAAGTCACTACCTATCCAGACATTGAGGAAATTCGTTCGTTAGCGGAACCCTTCCAGCGCTTGTTCAATACAGTCGTACGTTATAGTAAATCAGAAAGACGGTAAGTAACGGAGTGCACTGAGTGACGGAAATTATTACTTTGAACCGGAATGGAAACATGCCATCAGAGAACTCTAATTTTTGGTATGCAAAACATTACAATACTCCTTTCTTTATCGGTCGACTGAACGGATAGTTGAAATGCAATAACTAAGACTAGCATAAGAAAGTGCAACGTGAATGGTTGCGCAAACCGAAAAACTGGAACTTAGTCGAATCTTCATCAGAATCAAACGTATAATCTGATCTTGAATTGAGATTTCTCAGAAGGAAGTTAAAACCTGGTTTTATTCGGGAACAGTCTGCAGTCTGGATTTTTATCAGTGCATAATACCCGACGCGAATTTCTCACAGTGATGGTACATGTTCGTTGGAATTCGACTGACCGTGATTACTAATGACATTCAGAAATCTGTGTTGGTACTCCATCCATACGTCAAATTTTCCCAAGTACAGTATGCTGACTCCCGTCATCTTGATTCGTCATCCGGTCGACTGTAGTGTTGTCGATGAATCATCTGCACAAAGGACATTCACATTCGCCTAGCATCGAGACTACCAACATGTAGTTTTGCATTTGACATCGTGATGAAAATTAGTATAAACGAGGTAATGAAATGTGAATTTAGTAGGATAAATGTGAACAGTGAACATGGCTGTATGGAGTCCCAATCCACTGCTACTGGTTTCGCTCAATTTCAATCACATGCTTGAAATTTAAAATGATATGAAGAATAATGGAAAATGTACGAGTGATAACGACCAATCAGCGCTCACTAAGGTGCACGGCAATGATGGTCGTGTGAATTGAACCGAGACGGGGTAAATCCAGCCCGATCGATGCACACCCAAAGGCCGAAAAATTCAAGTTCACGAGCACGCCATATCATAATCAGTCACGCGTAAAGGGATTGCCACCAGTCTTCCCTTGATGCGAGCAAATGAATGTTCTGAACGGCCTCAGTGGACCACGGGAAATAACGGAACAAAGCAGTTGTTCCTACTACAAGAGAAACTGTTCCTGTTCACTTTTATTCTCGAACATCATCACAAAGAACCCCGTAGTTAAAAACGCATATATCGGACTATTTAAACATCAATTGATCCAATAAATCACAATCTGAGAATTTCTATTGTTGATGTAAAAACCAAGCATTTTTCACTGCCTGCGATTCATCTCTGTCTCTAATTAACCTTATCCTTTGTCCTAATTAATCCGTCGGTATCAGTTGCCGTTTAGTCATTCCATCGCCCGAACCAAATAAAGCATGTGGTGGTTTGTTTGGCAACTGGATTCGGGGATTGATTCCAATAAATATTCGGTTTACGCTCCAAAAAGTACAGAATACTGCTTTAATTCGGCTGAGGGTTCAGTTCAAGTCAGCAAGTTGCGTGTGGAGGAGGTGACACACTTACCGAAGTCCAGTTGCGCAGGTATTTGAAATATCCGCAAAATATTGCGAGTTACTTCAATTTCCTTTAGTATTTCATTGGTGTGTGGATATCCTAAGCCAAAAATAACTCATTGTGTCTTCAACTGAGCTCATCACTTTTGTTTTCCTCGGGTTCTCGGATGGATTCGATGGCTCAAACTTTATTCATCAATCCGATCGGATAATTACGGAATTAAATGATTCCGCCTCATTGCATTTAGGTGACGGTTTATGGTGAAGAACAGGGATGGAACATCTGCGTCTCTGTTTGGCGCTTGCCTACAGTTTTATGGAAGGTCAGGGCCATAACAATTTAAAATTTCTTGAACTTGATGGGAAAAGTGAGTCGTAAGAGGACTGACTGATAAACTTTGCACCAAAGTGAAGCTTACACGAATTCTTGAACCTTGAGCTGTGCCGCCCTGACTATATGGATTATGTTTGCTACTACACCGGTAATATGCGTTTACAACCAATTTTTTCAAGTGGTTCTCATCGCTGGCGTATAGATACAAAAGCTTTGGCGAGTTTAATCGCGATCTAAGTCTTGTCATTAAGTTAGTCTGTCTTTTAGATCCGGATTCAATTGCTGCCATGATATTTTGTATAACATCTACTAGCCTTGTATTAGTTATTAAATCCATCTAAGGACTGTTATGTGCACGTGGGTCAGATGCTATTAACCTCAACAAACATGACTTGATCTTCTTTAGAGAATATTTCATAATAGGTAGTATGTGAATAACTGGACAAGATTTCCTTGTTTATCCAAAATTCACCCGTTGTTGCAACCGAGGTTCTTGTGACGAAAATATACTTCCTGGGCACACGTATATGAATGAACTGACAAAAGATTAACGGATACGCATGCCTGACGATCAGCAAGAACCGCGAAACCGTCGTCTGCTTCCATAGAA